GTGAAGTCTATATACACTACATCCACGGGGGATCCTTTATCCAGATTACAGCTCACCTCCTCATAGATTGTTAATAGGTTGGTCTGACAAGAACGATCTTTTCCCATAAATCCATGCTGGGTACTACTAATGATACTATGTTTCATCAGCAAATTCTTGGGTATGGTCCCTTATCATCCCTCCAATAGTTTAACAAACTATTGATGTTAGGCTGACTGGCTTGTAGCTTCCAGATATGTATCTTGGTCCTTTCTGGAATACTAGTACCATGTTAGCTTTTCACAAATCTGCTGCCACCATTCCGGTCAGTAAACTTTCCTGAAGACTAGGAATAACAGTAAATGACCTGGATACATTCTTTGAGGACTCTGGGGTGCAAGCCATCTGGTCCTGGTGATTTGTTCCTATTAAGTTTTTCTAGACTTTTCTAATCTTTTGTAAGGGACCACTACACTGACCACTGATAAAAGAGAATCCTTCTCCCATTGGTCACAAATGTAAGGGACCACTACACTGACCACTAATATAGGGGGTCCTTCTCCCGGAAGCGTAGGCAGGACAGAACACTGACCACTGAAGAAGGGGGTCCTTCTCCCATTGGTCAAAGTAAGGGAACTCTACAAAGACCACTGATCAATCAGAACAGTCCTTCATCCCATTGGTCACCAATGTAAGGGATGCACTCGTAGGGGACCACTGATATAAGTGGGCTCCTTCTCCCATGGGTCCAGCTGTGTAAGTCTGGCCTATCACACTGACCACTCCCCTTCTCCCATTGGTCTTTCTAGGGACTACATCGGGCTTATGGGGGACTCCTGGGACTCCAGCTGGGGAGTCTGGCCTAGCACAGCTTCCAGGGGCTTTCCAGGGACCACTGGCTATAAGGGGACTTCAACGGAACTCCAGCTGTGAGTCTGGCCTAGCACAGTTCCCCACCCTGATTTCCAGGGACTGATAATAAGGGCTCACCTTCTCCCATTGGTCTCCAATGTAAGGGACTGGCCTACTGACCACTGATAATAAGGGAATCCTTTCCCATTGGTCATCAATGTCACGGAGACTCAACGACAATGACCACTGATATAAGGGAATCCTTCTCTAGCCATTGGTCCCACCAATTTAAGGGACCACTACACTGACCACTGATATAAGCTGTGGGGTCCTTCTCCCATTGGTCACCTTTAAGGGACATAGGGGTCACGGGGACTCAATGGGACCTAGCTGTGGAGTCTGGCCTAGTAAGCTCCCTACCCCCAGCTTTCCAGGGACATAGGGGGTCACGGGGACTACCCCATTGGGACACCAATGTAAGGGACCACTACACTCCCCACCCACTTTCCAGGGATATCGGTGCGTCCTTCTCCCATTGGTCACAGAGGACATGTAAGGGACCACTACACTGACACTGATTCAGGAACGGGTCCTTCTCCCATTGGTCACAATGTAAGGGAACCACTACACTGTCAGTAAGGGATCACCATTGGTCACCAATGTAAGGGACCACTACACTGACACTCAGGGTCCTCTCCCTCCAGAAAGGGACTACACTGACCACTGTATAAGAGGGTCCTTCTCCCATTGGTCAGCGTTCCACTACACTGACCACGATATAAGGGGTCCAGCTCCCATTGGCACTCAGCAGTAACGGCTTCCCACTACACTGACCACTGACATGTGCAGGGTCCTCAGCAGCAGCTCCCATTGGGCACTCAGCATGCAGAGGGACCAGGGACTACACAGACCACTGACAATATGCAGGGGGGTCCCCCAGCAGCATCTCAGGGCACTAAGCACCGATAGGGTACAAGGGGTGCTCAGTAGACAGGCTTACTGACTTGCAGGGTCTCCCATTGGGCAGGGTCTCACTGTGGGGTCTTCTCCCATTGGTCCCATTGAGGAGAAGGCAGAATGCAGAGTCCTTCTGTGGAGATTCCAAACCCTAGGGTATGTAGGGGTCCTACAGTCCCTGACCAATTTTGGGGTTCTGCTAGAGTGCACAGCGGGGATATGGGGAGGGGGTCCTTCTCCCATTGCCACCAGCATCTTTAAGGAGCAAGACCACTACAGCATGGACCAGGAACAAAGATAAAGAGGGCTCCTTCCTGTTGAGTCACTTTTGTAAGGGACCATACACTGGACTGCATATAGGGGGTTCCTTCGGCAATGGGTCACCCATGTAACTGACCATGAAAGCTACACCTTCATGGAATGTGCAAGGGGAAGGGAGGGGTCCCATTGGTATAGAGGGGGATGGGACCAGGCACTGGCCCACTGTGATAAGGGATCCTTCTCTCATTGGTCATCCAATGTAAAGGGCCACTACACTGGTCAATAATGTAAAGGGGTTTTCTCTCCCACTTCCATTGGTCATTGGTCACCAATGTAAGGGACCACTACACTGACCACTGACCATGATAAAGGGGTCCTTCTCCCATTGGTCACCAATGTAAGGGTGACCAGGGACCACTACACTGACCACTGATATAAGGGGGGTCCTTCTCCCATTGGTCACCAATGTAAGGGACCACTACACTGACCACTGATATAAGGGGTCCTTCTCCCATTGGTCACCAATGTAAGGGACCACTACACTGACCACTGATATAAGTAAGGGGTCCTTCTCCCATTGGTCACCAATGTAAGGGACCACTACACTGACCACTGATATAAGGGGGTCCTTCTCCCATTGGTCACCAATGTAAGGGACAAATACAATGACCACTTGGGATGATCTCTGGGTTTAGTTGTCGGAGAGTAGGGATGAGACGACAGTACAAACCAAACTTTGCCTGTTCCGGTCCCGTGTTTTGCAGGAGCCGATCATCACATATAGAAGAGACATTTCTACCACTTCTATATATAACAGCTTCCCGCTGTCACTGGTGCCTGAGGAAGACATGGATGGGTACAGCGGCCACACCCCCAGGAATCAGTGATGTCATTGGGAATCCCTGCCATGTAAGGAAGGGGGCGGGGATAGCAGTGACATCACTGACCAAATATGGTCACTGGTCACATTTGGGTAATAAGGTCCCACCATCCCTGTCCCTTCACTTATGTAGATGATGACAGTTTAGGGAGCTGTCATTGGGCTGGTGCTATTGTCGGGTACTATATACCCCATACTCATTCACATGGGGGGACGGTATATGGGGGCCCCTTGTTATTAAAGGGGGTTTCCAGAATCCAATATGACCCCCCCCCACAGATCCCCACAGCCAGCCAAGGTGACAAAGGTGCTATGCCTGGGGGAATCCCCCCTGGTAAGGTGACCCCCATGTTGTGGACATGTGGCCTGGTATGGATCAGGAGGGGGGGGCACACTACAGCCCCCTCTGCACTCTGTATGGTGGGCTGTATATGATATACTGCTGACCCCCGCACTCTGCGCCGTTATTGAAGGGTGTGAGGTGTCACCCACCGAGGAGCAATGTTCTATATTGAAGTTTGCCGTCATTGCACCGACACACACAATAGTTTTTGTTCAATAAATGTTTTATTATAATTTTACATTTAACAAGATTGAAGCATAAAAATCAGGAAATAGTAAAGGAAGAATCCGATTGGTCAGGAAGATCCCTTGTCTGGAATGTGGGGGCGGAGTCATTATTATTGGTGTACAATACAATACACAACGTGTTCCATTATTATAACAAAGTATTGTAGAAAAGATCCCAACATAGAAAATGGGGGAAAGGAGGAAATAAAGGCGGATATGAAGGGGAATCTGTGTACGGGGAACACCTTAACAATCACCACCATTTTATTCTCCAGGGCCTCTGATGTCACAGAATAGATGTTTGGGGGTTTATCTCATCTTCAGGACCAAAATCTGCATTTTCCCATGTGTGCAAAATCATGCAGAAACAGCTCTGGCAGTGAGAGGGTTAATGTGGGCTAGATGGGATCCACTCTGGGGTGACATTAGAGCTCCCCCTAGCTGCAGCCTGGTAATAACATTGCTGGGAGGTCTCTTCATTTCTCTGCTCCATACTTCCCGTCTTTATAGAAACGTCTCCTGACATTTGGGGGTCTATTCATAGAATGTTTGTATAGCAATTCCCTCAGTGAGAGTTCAGTCCATTCCTCCTGTGTGAATGGGGGAACCAATGTTATTAGGATCATCACATCTGAGCTGCTGGAATGTCTTCCATTGATGGAAAATACATTGAAAACTTCTTCTCCTGCCATCAATGGGACCCGGTCCCACACTTCATCCATGTCTCTTTGGGGACCTCTGATCTCCTTATGAACTGTTTCTTCCATGATGAAGATCAGCCATGGAGTATATCTGAGGTGTATATCAGGGTGTGCTTCTTCCCCACATGAGAGCTGGGATGTCCAGCAACATTCATCTAGAAGACATTTCCCGCACTCAAGGCACTAATACACCTCCAGGGTTGTGTGGGACCCCTGATGTACAGGAAGACAGGACTTCAGTGAGGAACATTTCCCTCACTCAGGACAGGAAAGTGGCTTTTCCCTCGTGTGAGATCTCTGATGTTTGGAAAGATGGGACTTAGACTTTCTGTGAAAAACATTTCCCACACTCAGGACAGGAATATGGCTTCTCCCCTGTGTGAGATCTCTGATGATGTGTATAAGAGATTGGACTTCACTGAAAAACATTTCCCGCACTCAGGACAGGAATACGGCTTCTCCCCTGTGTGAGATCTCTGATGATGTTGGAAAGATTGGACTTCCTTGTGAAAAACATTTCCCACACTCAGGACAGGAATATGGCTTCTCCCTGTGTGAGATCTCTGATGCCTTTGTAAAAGAAAGATTTGACTTTCTGTGAAAAACATTTCCCGCACTCAGGACAGGAATGGCTTCTCCCCTGTGTGAGATCTCTGATGTCTGTGAAAGATGGACTTCTTCTGTGAAAAACATTTCCGCACTCAGGACAGGAATACGGCTTCTCCCCCGTGTGAGATCTCTGATGTGTGTAAAGATGGGACTTCATTGAAAAACATTTCCCGCACTCAGGACAGGAATATGGCTTCTCCCCTGTGTGAGATCTCTGATGTGTGACAGAGATGGACTTTCTGAAAAACATTTCCCCCGCACTCAGAACAGGAATACGGCTTCTCCCCTGTGTGATCTCTGATGCCTGTAAAGATGGGACTTTTCTGAAAAAACATTTCCCACACTCAGGACAGGAATATGGCTTCTCCCTGTGTGAGATCTCTGATGTATGTAAAGATGGACTTTCTGAAAAACATTTCCCGCACTCAGGACAGGAATACGGCTTTCCCTCCCCTGTGTGAGATCTCTGATGTGTGAAAAGACTGGACTTCACTGAAAAACATTTCCCACACTCAGGACAGGAATACGGCTTCTCCCCTGTGTGAGATTTCTGATGTTGTGTAAAGATTGGACTTCACTGAAAAACATTTCCCACACTCAGGACAGGAATATGGCTTCTCCCCCTGTGTGAGATCTTTGATGATGTGATTAACTGGATTGATTTGAATGAAAAACATTTCCCGCACTCAGGACAGGAATACGGCTTCTCCCCTGTGTGAGATCTCTGATGTATGATAATTTGACTTGATTTGAAAAAAACATTTCCCGCACTCAGACAGGAATACGGCTTCTCCCGTGTGTGAGATCTCTGATGTGTGTAAAGACTGGACTTTGTCTGAAAAACATTTCCCGCACTCAGGACAGGAAATGGCTTCTCCCCCCGTGTGAGATCTTTTATGCACATTAAGATGGATTTTTGAACGGAAACCCTTCCCGCACTCAGTACAGGAGAAGCTCTTCCCTGTTGGAAGGCCGGCCGGTCCCGCACAGTCTGAGGTTCCTCAGGATACGAGGAATCCGATGGTCCATCTACACTGGGTGGTGCCGGATGGACATTGGAGGGAGCCGGGTTTTCTCCTGGACTATACTGTGTGATGTCCTCATCTTCTACTTTCCAGTCTGGAGACAAAGTGAGACAATCCTCCTCGGAGGTTTTCCTCATCTCCCGGCCATGGACTAAAATACAAAGACAAAGAGGATTACTAGACAGGAGCTGATTGGTTCCCCCAAACCAGGACTCCGCCCACATCTGAGTTGGATTTTTCTGATAGACAGTCCAGTTCTATAAAGATGACTCAGTAAGTCATCTGTGTGGAGAATCACCAGAAACCTAGTGGACTTTCCGCCCAATCATGCTTTGCCAGGATGAGAATCCAACCATAACTGGTCCTCAATGGAAATTGGAGGGAGTTTTCTTACTAAGTTGATGTCCTCATCTTCTACTTTCCAGTCTGGAGACAAAGTGAGACTAGGATGTTTCCTCATCTCCCAGGCTCCATGGACTAAAATACAATCAAAGAGGACTACTAGACAGGGAGCTGATTGGTTCCCCCAAACCAGGACTCATCCGCCCACATCAGGCAGCTTGGTCTCTGAGGAGCTTACAATTCCACCCTCAAGGGAACTAGGAAATGGCTCCTCTGATCTCCTACCAGGTCATTTCTTTATTCATGGACCTTAGTCAGAGAGTGAGGAAACAACCAGAACTGTCTTTTATAGGAGGGACAGTGATGAGGGGATTATAGGACGAGGGTCCCCCCACCCCCTCTATCACTCATCGCCATCTTCCCAACACAAGAAGTACTGCACTTCCTTATTTAGTCCATGATTTAGTCATGAAGAACAGCGGGGCTGAGCCCCACCAGAGGTCAGAGAGTGAGGATGGGGGGAGAACAACCAAGATGAAGACTGGACTGATCCTGAAGACCACCATCATTGGGGTATTGACTCCTCCCTCATTATCACTTTCTGTTTAAGGGTCCAAAGTTGGAGGATGTTATCACATTATTATCACCATGTAAAAGTCTGTGCTCCAATCACATCATCCGATATAAAATGTCCAGCTGGGAGGAAATGGGGGGAACAAAAGAGAATCCATATTATGTGTGTGTATATATAGCAGTGGGGGGGGGGGGGGAGAGCAAAAGTCAGGACTAAAATAATGTACAACATAGAGTATATAGTGCAGGGGTCAGGAGTATGTAATATGCATGTACAACATAGAGTATATAGTGCAGGGGTCAGGAGTATGTATGTACACTACATAGAGTATAAGCAGGGGTCAGGAGTATGTAATGTACACACATGTTTATGTAAGGGTTACAATATAGTTGGAGTTGTAGTGCAGGGGTCAGGAGTATGTAATGTACAACATAGTCCATAGTATATAGTGCAGTTTGGGGTCAGGAGTTGTAATGTACTGTACATAACAGTTATAATAGTGCAGGGGTCAGGAGTATGTAATGTACAACATAGAGTAATAGTGCAGGGGTCAGGAGTATGTAATGTTGTAATGTAGCACATATGTCAGGTCAGGTACTGAGGGGTCAGGAGTCAGGAGTATGAGTAATGTACAACATAGAGTATATAGTGCAGGGGTCAGGAGGGGTCAGAGATCTGTGCAACATATAGTTGTATACCAGTGGGTCAGGAGTATGTAATGTACAACATAGAGTATATAGTGCAGGGGTCAGGAGTCATGTAATGTACAACATAGAGTATATAGTGCAGGGGTCAGGAGTGTGTAGGATGAAATTGTCCAAAGAGTAGAGGGTGAAATAGGAGAGTAATCCCTTCAGTATAACTCACAGCTGGTGCAGGGGTCAGTAGTAATGTAATGTACCAACCATAGCAGTATATAGTGCAGGGGTCAGGAGTATGTAATGTACAACATGGCAGAGTATAGGCAATAGTGCAGGGGTCAGGAGATGTAATGTACAACATGTGGTTGGTCAATCCAGAGTATATAGTGCAGAGGGTCAGGAGTATGTATGTACAACAGAGTATATAGTGCACCAAGGTCAGGAGGAGTATGTAATGTACAACATAGAGTATATAGTGCAGGTGCAGGAGTCATGTAATGTATGCCAACATAAGTATATAGTGCAGGGGTCAGGAGTATGTAATGTACAACTGTATATACAGCAGGGTCAGGAGTATGTAATGTACAATAGATAATATAGTGCAGGGGTCAGTCAGTATGTAATTACAACATTCCCAGTGTTCAGGACTATTAATTTGTTAAATCAGCAATCAGTTTGAGGTGGAATATATAGTTACTGTAGACAATGTCATGGATGGAATTTCCCCACTGTAGACAAGTTGCACTCACACCCCTATCTCCTGAGACTGCACTCAGTGACTTGGGTCTGAGACACTACAGACATACCCTCCACCCGGCACAGCCAGCAGACAACAAGAGCAAGTAACCCTGGGAGAATTGTTCTGTCAGAGATTTACTAGACCCTGGGCATGGAAAGAAGTACCCAAGACACACATGCCCCAGTGCCTAGGTCAACAACCTATGGTGAACATCAACATTTTTTGCTGCCAGCTGAACCCCAGAACCTCCATAAATCCAGTCTAGATACATAAATTGTGTCTGCAGCACAGAGAAGGAAGATTATCCGAGAGAAATCCAGGAATACAGGACGGGGAACACAGCTCAGGAAAGTGACCAGGGGATTACAGGCTGATATCACCCAGTCCCCGCCCTACTCTGGACCAATCAGTGAGCAGTATGGGTGGAGGAATGGATTTAGTGTTCATGACCCACCTGTGCTGATCTCTGTAGGAGTGTCCTCCTCTATAAATGTCCCCGTTATTCCATCCTCCTCCATAGACTGCTGATCATCCCTCACATACGCCTCTTCTTCTTCTGCTTTCACCTCAAATTCTATATCGATTGGATCTCCACTCTAAATCAAGGAAATGAGAGAAAATATCATCTGTAAAAAAAATATAAGGTCACATAAAAAAATCCACACATTGTCTCTACAAGTCCATGTTCTAGATTCTCCATCCCACCAACCTTGCAATGGTGAGGGATGGTGTGACCTTCCTGTGTGGAATCCCGGGAATACAGAGGACGGGGACATCTCTCTGGTGGGTTCCTGGTATTAGGTGGCTCCATCATATCCTTGTGTCCTTCTGAAAACTCCTCCATCACTCCATACTCCTCATCCTCCTCTTTATACTCTTCTTTAACATCAATATTATCATCCCCGAGGATTCCACTCTGAAAGATATAATAAAACATTCATTGTAACAAACATGCTGTGTATAAATCACAACTACCAATAATTGTCATCATCTACCTGATGATGGTGAGGGATGGTGTGACCTTCCTGTGTGGAATCCCGGGAATACAGAGGACGGGGACATCTCTCTGGTGGGTTCCCATGACTGGATCCATCTGTAGGAAACACACACACTGACTGAATCCATTGTTTCTATGTGTTTATCAGATGATGGGGGATCTAGGTGGATCCTCCGTACTGCTCTCTCCTTTACAATAAAGTCTCCTCTTACCCGGTGATGTGAGGGGCGGCTGATTGTCCATCATGACGTCCTTGTAGAGATCCTTGTGTCCTTCTAAATACTCCCACTCCTCCATGGAGAAATAGACAGTGACACCCTGACACCTTATAGGAACCTGACACACACAATGATACAGTCACCATCCAGACACATCCCTTGTCTGTTACTGGAGAATGTCCCAGAATTCCCGGCACCGCTCACCTCTCCTGTCAGCAGCTCAGTGATCTCTCTGGTGACTTCTAGAATCTTCTTCTTCTTTCTCTCTTCTATCAGGGAGGGAGGTGGAGGCAATGTGATGTCATATGATCTCCAGACTTCACAGGAGGAAAACTCTACATCTGAACACAAATAGTCACATCAAATGATATTCCCAGAATCCTCCTCACCTCTCCATTCAGGTCTCCATTTTATTAAAGCCCCACTTCAGGCTGAGGTATAATTCCCCCCCACAGGACCCCCACACTACGCAGGGTATAGGCTTGTTGCAGCATTCTGATGTCATTACATACAACGCAGGACCAACAGTCCCACTTTACATGTGAGGATACCAAGGGGCCCCCACATCCTAAGAGCATCAGAAAAAAGTCAGATGGAGGGACATTGGGAGGAGGAGCTGTGTCATAGGATTCTCTGGTCATTGGGAGGAGGAGTGTGAGGTCATAGGATGTTAGGATTCTCTGACTCTGGATGGAGGGATTGGGAGGAGGAGCTGTGAGGTCAGTGTGAT